AGAGTCACAGATGTTAAACATTGGATATGTAGTGATCAAATAGTTAATGTGTACATTTAGTCTCGAGTCTCCATACAGGATATAAATAAAAAGGCAGTTTTTTTTCCTTAGTTTTGGCCATTAATTAGCAGAAATAGTCCTTAAATATAACCAGCTTCTGATCAGCTTGAGTAACTGCAAATACCTCAATTCCTATGTCACCTACAAAACTTTGAGAAACAAATGCACGGGGATCAAAGTCTGCCCTCAACAGAGATAATCCTCACAGCCATCAAGTGAACTCACTTCAGCTGCAGGGCTGTAACAAGTCAGAATTTGAGCCCATGCTTTTCCATTGTAAACACTGGTGTGATGGGGAAATTCAGCAACAGAAATTCTCCTGCCAGAAAGTTTTTCATTGTCTCTAGAGACTCCATACACAAGTAAGGTAACTAAAGATTTCTGGTCATTATGTGCAGAATTAGACATTTTCACGTATGTTCACCTCTGTAACAAACATTGAGAATTAAATCACAAACCGTGGTGATTGTACCTCACTATAAGGCGGCTTGTTATGGTTTGGTCTCATGGCTTTGACTAATGTTTTCCCAATCACAAAATCCTTACAATTCCCACCTTCAGATATTTTTGTTTGTTGGTTTTATGGCTACTTGCTTCCCAAAAAAACCACAAAATTTGCATGAAAAAAAATAAGTTAATATGTATACCCCAGACTGATTCACAATATTACCTATACATCCAATTTACATTCTTTTCTCCTGAAAGCATTTCATATTTCGATTGCTTGACACAAGCTATTGACTGCAGAAGTGAAAGAACATGAAACAGTTCATTCTACACCTCCAACTGCCTGAGCGAGAGAAAGTCTTCCAGGTGTATAAATGTGTTTCTTACCGCAGACTCCGGTCATTTGGCATGCGGTTCCTTTGCTGCCAGAACAATCTTTCAAGACTGAACCATACGTTAGCACAGTGTGACAACACAAGCTGAGCAATTGTGTCATCAAGCTCCTTGGTCTACTACAATGGTTTCTCTGGTTTCCTTACCTCAGAGAAGGTCACCTTAGCCTCCATAATAAAATCCTGACAGCAGCTGTTAGAGAGAAATCAACTGCTACATGGGATGAAATGGAACTTCGTATAACTGAAGTAAGCAGGAACAGTAACCAGGCAAGTGAAGTGCAAAGATATGGTCTAAGCAGTCCTCAAAAAAATTTAAAAAAAAAAGGAAAGGGAGGGGGGAAAAGTGTGGCACAAGTTAAGGGCAAAAACTACTGCACGGTTTTAAAAAACCATGAAAGTAAAAGTAGTAATACTGTAAACTGCAAAGTCTTCACATTTCATGGTTGATTAGCAGCCTCCGTGACTGAATCTTTTGATGGGCAAGTAGACGAGCGGGGATCCATGGCCGAGTGCATTAGAGGAATATAAACATCATCCATGTTTGGCATGACAAAGATTTTCTGGGAAATGTAGATAAAAATAAAACAGGTGTACTGAATACGTCCTTCAAACTTTTTTGGACTCCTGACTAGTTTAACTAAAAAAATTAAAGTAGCATATTTAAATAGATTCCCCATTTCCCTGGGGCTGACACAGTCTAGTACAAATTAGGATACACAGGCTCTGCAGGGCCTGCTAGCTTCAACTGTCTGATTGCATGAACCCAAGCTGCACAGGACTTCAGAAGTGCCTGAATCTGTACACTCCATAACCAGAAATAGGGCCCACTGGAAAATGCAGATTTCTTTCCTGTCCTGTTCTCTCTTGTGTACCTCTAACTGCAATTTCTTTACAGTACTATTCAGGGCAATTACTTCGGTCTATAAAGTCTGCTCTGTAGGATTATAGTCATGGAGACGAAAACTGCTTCCTGTTTAGCTCTGATTTACAAATGTTTGAAATTATAGTTTTTCCTGTTCTGTATGAGTGGGAAGCATCAGTTTCTTCCAACGTTATAATTAAAAATCAGTCAAACAGGTCAGTGAGACCCATTCACCACCTACTTAGAGCACTGACATGCCAACTGGGAGACCTGGGTTCAGGTCATCCCTGCTCTGTCTGATTTGAATCAAAAATAATTTGAACCCAGATCCCCCACCCTGAGTAAGTGTCCTAGTCCCCAAGCTATTGTTTATTCTGGAAAGTGTGCTTCTCACCCCAGAACCCCCTTAAGGAAATGCCTGGCAGATTCCCAGAAGCAGTTGCAGTTTTAATGAGTGGTACCTTCTTTCCTACCATAAAACAATTTTGTCAAGATTCCCACCCAGCTCCAGTCATAACTACCCCAGAAGCTACCACTCCCCCTGACTTTGGGCTCTCTTGAAGGCCGATATTAGTTGCCAGATTTTCAGAAGTGCTCAGCATCCAGCAGTCCCCATTCAGAACCCAAAAACTGCTGGGTGCTCGCTGGTTAATGGAAATCTGGCTACATACTACATGAGTCTGTGTTAGGAAGTGGGTAAAGAGCAAAAAAAAGAACCGTTTTGCCTTGTGACCAACTGCCTAAATGAACAACATTGTTAGGAAAGCATACCTGAAATTCTTGTTCCAGTTTCTTCTCTATCCACTCAGTCACGTGAACCAAAGTCACTTCTCGCTCACCAAGCTTTGGCCGAGCTTTTAGCTCTAAGTAAGGAGGTCTTCGGAAACCGTACCTCAAGAATGCACACAAAGGAGAGGGGTTATCATACCTGTGTCTCCCTAAAGAACATACTTAAACACGCTCAGTGTGAATGCAATTCAAGTTCTCATAGCTGCTCCAGGCCAGCATTCCAAATGATCATTCATGCTGCCTTGTATTGCATTCAAAATCCAATACAGAAAGCTTAGCTGCATGGCTGTCACATTTCCTCAGGACTCTTTTGCATTTTAAAAGGCTCTGAAGTTCACTCTGGTAAATTCTAAATTGCCATCCTTAGCACAACTAATGCCATCATAAGCCCAAAGTCCCAGAAAAATATTGTATCGCAGAGCATTTAATGGGATAAAGGAAGGACTTGCACTCCTTAATGCTGGCAATCCCAAAATACCCACACAAAGATAAGAATGTGCACCCCAGTCTCTTTGGTGAGGGAGATTAGTAACAGTTGGAGATGACGTGGCATTTCCACCTCGTGCTGCACTTACCATATCCTGTCAGTGGGTGGTGGTGGAATGTTAATTGCTAGTGTTCCTTTACATTCTTGCACTTCAACGGTTAGCAGCAGTGGAGTATTAGATACCTCTTCAATCTTCTTCTTAATGAACTCAGTCTCTGTGGCTTTTTGGAAATATTTCGACTTGGTGATTTTATCCACAATTCTCATGATTTTACTTGTCCGATGTCCTCCAACATACCTTCAGAGACAGCATAAGAAAACTGCATCATCAAAATGCCCTCAGACGATCAATAGCTTCAGGCTATTTTTCTCTGAATAGTCCACATATAATTGGAAGGAAGGAGACAGCAAGAGCTAAAAGGTTTAAAAACCACTGATGGGACTTCAAAGCAATAGACCAACATGAAGAAAATGTAGGTTGAATAGCAGCAAAAGCATACTGGGAAACAGAGAAAGCCCCATCACTTGAGAAATGTAATGCCAAATCACTACCAAAACTATAACAGGGAATTTTCAAGGGGGGCATAAGAGTTTAAGCCCCTCAAAGTCTTTGCGACAGTTTAGGGAGGAATCCTGTATTGTGTGGGGAATGCGCTGGGGGAATGTTTCCACAGGTTCTTAGGTATCTAAAGAAGCAGATCAACACATTAGTTGGATTGCTAAAAAGTGATTGGTGTCTATCTGCCAATCAATTGGAGTAAAATACTTGAAAATTTATATTAAACATCAGTGCTTCCAAGTACCTAAATCTGAAAGTCTGAGTCTAGAAGTCTTGAAAGTTCTTTGCCATTTTGACTTTAAGTTCTCTGAGACAGAGTCTTTTTCTGCTTGCTTTGCATAGTACCAGCTAAATGGGCCAAAGCTGTTTGGGAACTTTGGGCAGGACAGCAATACACAGGAGCTAGGTTTTTCCAAGGACCCTGCTGGTTACAGGAGTTGAGCAGCTGTTCCCCCCACCTCTGAATGTGCCTGCTTTCCACAAGCCTGTGTTAAACCAACACAGCTACAACCAACAACCCTGTATGCAGAGGAGCTTTTCCCTCCAACAGTCACAGATGGTGTAAAATAGATGCTTTGTTGTAAAGACTGTGTGTGTCCAATCCTGGGGATGTAAGCCCCCTAAGAAATTCATAAGGATGGAATCGCTGGCATTTTCCATACTCCTGCAGTGTCCCCATCATCTGCTGAAAGCAATAGTTTGTAGCCCGTGAGACTTATGGAGAAAAGACAGTCCTGAAATGTCAGCAGTGGGTAACATGAGTCCTCCCACTCTACATTTCATGCAGCTAACACGTCACAGTTCCAGCATTCAGTGCTTTTCCCTAGGAACTCAGTGGGCAAGACACTATGCTGATATGAAATGACATTGCTCCATTCATTACAGTTCACTACTAAGCATCAGCTATGTGGGAGCAGCAACCGGTGCTGCAGGGATGGCTGTACCCCTCACTCAGCACGCACTTCCCAGCAGGCCGAGCAGACCGTGCTATGGAATCAGAAGTTATGGACTTTAATTGTGACATTTTGAAGTTTTTGAACTTACTATAGATATAGGAAACCTGAAATTAGATTTAAAGAAAAAAACATCAGAAAAGAAACCATAGGAAGGAATGAAGCAAGCCTAGAGGAGGAACAAAAATTCTTCTCAGTTCTCTGCACAGAGCACTAGGGGGCCGTGTTGTACAGTCCAGGCTTTCTAAAAGCCTTTCAAGAGAAAAACTGGCAATGAAGGAGAGGCTGTGTATCAAATGATAAATTCTTAGTACTTCCCTAAATATCAAGTTTTGAAATACACAAGTTACCCTGAAACTACAGTTTCAAATCCCAACAAGGTTGACAGACAGTCCTTCAAGCTCTCTAGGGATGCAACGCAGCTGTGGTCTGGTAGTGGATTAAACACGATGCTTGGAATCGGGAAACTATTCATTCAATCCTTAACTTGCCACTAGGTAAGTTACTGGACAAGTTACTAGAAGTTTCTATGTCCAGTCACATTTGTGAACTTGGGATGGTAATATTTACTGCCTCAAAAAAATTATTTAAAAAAATTAAAAAGCCATTAAAAAAAACTGAGCAGTACATAATTCAACTCTGCAAAGGCCTGCGGATTATACCTCAAAACTCAGCCTCTGCTGAAATACCTGGTATGAATACTTATTTAATCAACATCTCCCTTTCTCCCTCTGATACGTGGAGCATTTGGTTGCCACTCTCCACCCCAGAAATGGCCATGTTTCAGTTATATCTTTACAGGAGTGTACAGACACAGTGAAACCCACTGACCTTCCAAGGGCTACAGCATCACCATGGGTGGAATTTCAGAGACTACAATAGTGGAGTAAACATGTGAAAAACCCAAATAAAACACCTTACCCCTCTGCTCCTGGAGCCAGCTGCTTCTCTCCACCCATCAGCTCAGGGGCATCATCCTCCTCTGAAGACCCAGCACTAGAGGATTCTTCATCACTGTCTGCAAGGCAATACGCTCTTGGCCTGAAACTAAGAGAGATCACAATTTCCAGGTCAAAACGTAACATCCTTTACTACCACGGGTGGCTCTCATGTAATTATACTAGATCAGGTGATATTCCCCCACCCAACACCACCACCTTTCCCCAGTTAGGTAAATAAAGGTAAAATGCATGCTGACATGGTTTACAGGGTCCTGATATTAAACGCACACAGATTCTTTTACACAGGAAAAGAAACCCTGTTTTTCTTCAGTAAAATGGAATCCAATCTTGTATGGGAAGCTGTTACATCACAAGACAGAGAAGAACATGGCCACTTTGCATGCCACTGAACAGAATGGGGGATGGTTTAAAGTACGTTTGCAAACACATTCCTCTTGGTGTTAGTGTCTCTCCAAAGGGATGGATATGATGCAGGGTAGATGGAGTTTTCTTTCTTAAACTCTTGACAAACATTAGTTTAAAAAAAATAGCAAACTGACAACACACAGTGAAACCTGGTACTGAAGAGATAGAGCTATACTGAATGATACCAGACTCTTTTCAACAAATTTTTACTGAGGGGCCCAGACAAGAAGTTCTATGCTTGGTTCTGGAAGCAACTTCACAGTGCCAAATGCCATGTGGTGTTTTTAGTTGGCTTTTATAAAAGGCCTCTTGTACCCAGTCACAAGCAGAGTTGCACAACACAGAATCTAGTTGTCCTGTTACATCGAGTAATAAGATGGTCACTAGACACCAGATTCCTGAGTAATGTGTAAAAACAGTGCAAGTTATACTGATGGTGAGCTTAAGGCTGATAAGTGCATTTATAAGAATCCAAGAAAATTAAACCTACATGCTGAAGGGCCAAAAGTAGGTTTAAGATAAAAGTATCCTGTCGAAAAGCAGAGTTCAGTTTACTCTCTCCTGTTGACTGCTTTACCTCCTATGCCCCATCTCTTCCTGCTCATAAGACATCAAATCTCAAAGCACTTATGCCCATTTATGGCAAACACAACATGCTTGTCTTTAATTGACACTGGATTAGAGCAGGGGCTGAAAGTGTTTTGTATTGTACTCTCCAAAATGAGCGATGACCCAAGATTGGTACTTGATTACATCAGTGACTATGAAGACAACTGCCACTGTGCAGAAGCAGCAGGGCAGGGAAGCTAAAATAGAAATTCTGAAGTATACTGAACTCAATTTCCCAGTAGCCTCTAACCAACCCAAGTCTGTGCCTGAAATTGGTGGCATTTCATACTCGACTTCTATGGCAGAGTATTGCAAAAAGGCATATTCTTAATTTGGGTTGGTTAAGGTGAGATAGATGAGATAAAACAGTAGTGAGGACAAAGCAGCTTGGGCTTTAATTTGCGTTAGCAACACCACTTCAATCCCACACTCCCTTATATCTTAATTTGAGATGCTAGGTCTTTACTGTTTTAACCCAATTTTGGGGTATGGACTTGCAACACAATCATTATGGGGTCCTGTAATTTACCCTTGATTTTACTCCTCAATAAGGAGCGGATACAGTGATGTCATACTGTACATAGTGTTTGTTCCATTTTTACCCTGAAATCAAGTTAATCCTGAGTAAGCGTGTTTGTCCACACCCTTAGCTAATTAAAACACTCAATGACTACAAAAGCTACAGGGCACCAGGAGAAATATGGTCTTTAAGGCTCCATCTACAAGAAAATTTAAAGTAGTGTAACCAACTGATGGCACTACATTAGTTAATATTACAGTAGTTATGCCTGTAGTTACTCTGGTATTCCCCATCCTTTACATAGGCAGAGTAACAGTAGGGAAAAAGATATGCTAATGAACAAAAAGCAGCAACGATTTTTGTTGGCAATCTCTTTTATTATAGCTTCGTAGTTGCAGGGTCGGAAAGGACCTTGCAGATCTTCTAGTCCAACCCCCTGCCCTGGGCAGGAGAGAAAACTGGGCTCAAATGACCCCAGCTAGGTAATAATCAAGCCTCCTCTTAAAGACCCCCAGGGTAGGAGCCAGCACTACTTCCCTTGGAAGTTGGTTCCAGATCCTAGCTGCTCTGACTGGGAAGTAGTCTCTTCTAATGTCTAATCTGAACCTACTCTCTAACAACTTGTGTTCTTCTCAGCAGCTCGGAGGCAGAGAGGGATCTTGGAGTCATAACTGACTCCAAGATGAACATGAGCTGGCAGTGTAACAAGGCCAATAGCACCTTGTTGTGCATTAGCAGGTGCATGACTAACAGAACAAAGGAGGTGATGCTTCCCCTCTCTGCAGCACTGGTCAGGCCGCAGTTGGAGTAGCGTCCAGTTTTGGGCGCCGCACTTCAAGAGGGATGCGGGGAATCTCGAGAGGGTCCAGAGGAGGGCCACTCGCATGATTAGTGGCCTTCATGATAGCCCCTACAGGGGGAGGTTGAGAGAGCTGAATCTCTCGTGAAGGCTGAAGAGACTACTGAGGGGAGATCTTGCGGCCGCCTATAAATTTATTGGGGAGGTCAACAGGGAATAGGGGAAGCACTGTTTACTAAGGCGCTCCAGGGAGTGACTAGGAATAACGGGTGTAAACTAGTTGAGAGTGGATTTAGGTTAGATATTAGGAAGAAATTTTTCACAGTAAGGGTGGCCAGGATCTGGAATGGGCTTCCAAGAGAGGTGGTGCTATCACCTAGCTTGGAGGTCTTCAAGAGGAAGCTAGACAGTCACCTGGCTGGGGTCATCTGACCTCGGTCCTCTTTCCTGCCAGGGGCAGGGGGTCGGACACGATGATCCATTGTGGTCCCTTCCGACTCTACAATCTATGAATCTATGAAACTTATGGCCGTTATTCCTCGTTACTCCAGGAGGTGCTCGGGGGAACAGGGCTTCTCCCATTCCCCACTGGTCCCCCCTAGTAAGTTTATAGACGACCACCAAGTCCCCTCTCAGCCTTCTCTTGTGAAGGCTGAACAGGTTAAGGTCCCATAGCCTCTCCTCGTAGGGCCTGCCCTGCTGTCCCCAGATCATGTGGGCGGCCCTCCTCTGAACCCTCTCAATGCTGTCCACATCCCTCCTGAAGTGCGGTGCCCAGAACTGGACACAGTACTCCAACTGTGGCCTGACCAGTGTCGCATAGAGGGGGAGGATCACCTCCTTGGCCCTGCTTGTGATGCATCTGTGGATGCATGTCAAGGTGCGGTTAGACCTACTTACCATGTCCTCGCATTGGCAGCCCATGTTCATCTTGGAATTGATAATGACTCTAAGATCTCTTTCTGCTACTGTGCTTTTGAGAAGAGAGTTCCCCAACGTATAGGTATGCTGCTGGTTCTTACTGCCCAAGTGCAGCACCCTGCACTTGTCAGTATTGAATCCCATCCTAGTCTCATTTGCCCAGCTATATCCTGTCCCTCCCTTCTAGCATGCCCACCTCACCCCAACTGCATGATGGGGATAGACTTAGGTAAGCTTTTGAATGCAGTACAATTGAAACCTTGTCTAAATCTATCCCCAAGGCCTAATAAAAAGGTATCACCCACAAAAACTCATCACTTCAACACTAATCAACCAAAGTTATTCTATGGAAACAAACACCTGTACATGTTTGGTGGGAAGTCTATTATCCTACACCAGATGGGGAATGCAATCTCCCTCCCGACTCTGTGGCAAACATCTCCTCAAAGATCCATTGGAAATGGCTTTGCAGACTGGTCAAGCTGTATCTCATTGCATTAGTGGGTCCAGAAATCTGATTAGTGACCTGATGTAGAAGGCAGTTTAATTTTTTGCTGAGAGAGTCCATCACAGATTCAAGAAAGTGATGTGGGAAAAGCAAACAGATGTTGCCCTTAAAAAAGGTGTAAAATATTGCACAATAGCAACTAATTCTGAGCTTGCTGTTTGAAGGAATGCTGGATATACTTATGCTCAAATGCAATCCAGCCTTCTTACCTGACTGAAACTGGGGAAGAATAAATATGAAAACACTTCAGTGTTCGCATACATAAATGCAAGAACTTGAGGCTTAAACAGCTATACAATGCAAGCTTTCTGAGGTCTCTGGCTTTGGTCAAGAGGGAAGTGCCCAGGATTATATTTTACTTGTGTAATATTTCACATCTTGTCAAGGACATGCAATTTAGAGATTTTTTTTTTCATTCTTGTTCTTATAGTCTGTTTTTTGAGTTTTGCTTTCTTAAACAAACAATGCTGAGCACTTACAGAAGCCACTTGCCACTACACAAAGTAGACAGAGCAAGTTACTAATGGTTTCTGCATGGAGTCCGACCAACCTCTAGAAGAGTTCAATGCAATGCACCAATATTCCAACTTCTTGAAGAACATGTTTAGAGAACAAGAGCAATGATCAGCCTTGCCAATACTAAAAGGGTTTGCTAGTATAATTTTAGCAGTAACTTATACCAGCAAAAGATTTCTACCAGCTAAGACAGTCACACATTTTCTCTGCATTAAATTAACCAGCCATCTTTACTAAGACCTTATCAGATTTGGTGATGGAGTGGTGTCAAATACGTGATTATGATGGAAAGGTATGCTGGAGCTGTAGCGTTGGTCCTGAGGTGACAGCATAGGATTCTACTGAACTACCGTTGCACTTTCTGCAGTGTGCTGTAGCAGACAGGAACAGTGTTGTATAGGGGAATGTGCCACAAGTTTCAACCTGGATTAGCCTGACTGCATTTGCACACACATTCCTGAGACCTGCTAGGGTAATTTATTTGTAAGGCAGCTGTATAGCATACTGCTCCCTTGGATTGCCACAGGAGGGTTGCCTCATGTTTTGGGGGGAGGAGGGAGGGGGCGCAAATAACCAAACTGTACCACAGCACACTTCAGTACCGTCCATCCAAAACAAGAATGCAGTAGGAACAATAATAAAAACAGACTGGATAATTTCAATAGCTCTCTTTATACTGATAAAGCTTGTTAATATGAAGGACTGAAGGCAATTAAAACTAAATAGTTTGTTTTGGGGGGTTTTGCCCCCAAATGAAGCAGATGCCTTTATCCAGCTGTTTGAGATGCTGGCTTTTGTTGTTGTTAG